CTTCCAGAAACCACTGAATGTCTACAGAACATGTCCCCTAGGGCAGATGGATCGGTTGACCCAGCTAAGGGGTGCGCCACGCACACGTAATCCATTCATATTACTTGAAACACTTGAAGGCATGTTAAGGGATGGTACATGGACCAGCTTCTGAGTTTGATGACACGCTCCCCCTTCAGGAGCATGTGAAAATTTTCGCTATGGGATACGTTTTTTTCAGAACCGACCGCTGCGCTGTCGCTGTCATTTTATCTTATCCCACACACACCTTGTCACGGTTCTTTTGATTACTGATTCTTCCAATTACACCCCCCCCACCCTTCCAACGAGTCAAAAATCGATCTTCAGTCGCATAGGTAGGAACAGATACATATACCGAAACGAAAGCCAGGAAGATGTACATGTTGTGTAGGAGCAAATGGCATGCTTGCCAAGCGCGTGATCCGTCCCAGAGTGTACAGGGGCCAAGACTTCTTGGCCGAGTCACATATCTGCAAAATCTACACAGCCCAGGAAGAAGACGTGGATACGTGTATCAGGGCTACTCAAGATGTTCCTCGATGAGCAGGAGCAGGCTCTCGTCCATCACCTTCATGTACACCAATATGAAGCCATCTCCAATCGCAGCCTGACTGGAGAAGGCCTATTGGAATTCATGTCACCTCCAAACAGCTGCGAAACTTCTTGTATGGAGTCACCCATGGACAGCTACCTGGAGACCGGCACTTTCTGATCTGGCAGACTTCAAACATCGAGCGGCTTTGAAAACGTCTTTGCGTCAGGCATATCATCTTTATCACAGGTCTGCCACAGGTGCGCGGGTGATGGTATGAACCCGGCCAGGTTCGCGTTTGGAATGGCGAAGGCCGATATTGAAACGATGGGCTTGTTACATCACACAGCTCGGAGCGAATATCCTGCCGTTTATGTCGTCAACCTTTCCTTGCTTGCGGGAAATTCGTACTTGCTACCCTGGATTGCGATAGCAGCTCATTGGGCATCGGAATTGCGTTGAATACGTGGTAGAAGACGGAGTAGTATCCGAACGTGTGATTCACCTCTCCCGTGAAACTTCCTCGTTTAGCGGTCTCGGGGGAGCTCCACAGGGTGGTCTGCCGAGTGGCGGGAATGCAAGGGCTCTCGCTGACTTCAGGGCCACCAAATCCGATGCACTTGGCCAGAAGCTTCTCTTATGCGCTCGTCCAGAAGGCTGCTGGCCCAGAGTTTTATGTCGTTCTTATGTTTGGTTTGTGTATTATCGCGTCCGTCTCGTTAAATTTGATCGCTGGAAGATGTACCAGTCAGAATCATACTAAAGTGGCAACTTATTATGGCTTTTAAAAGTCGAGAAAGAAAAGTGTTTCTTTCTTTGCCTTCCCCCTATTACCTCTGTTGGAAGCTTGCCCCCCTGTACTCTGTGGAATGCTTGTTTGGCCATTCTTGGGTCGGCTCCCGCCCAGGCCTGGGACGGTAAATTTTTAGCAGTTTTGTCTGAGAGATAAGTGCACTAGTTTGTACATCGACTGGCTGAAAAGAGCGCAATTTACTCTTGAGATATGAGGAAAGTGAGGGCTCTGTTTAGGTGACATATCTGAGGACAACGTTCAGAAATGGATTACGCAGGTTGAAGCCGGGCAATAGTGAACAGCAGTTGTGGAATTCCCAAGTTTGTGAACAGGGGCCAGATAAACCCTACTGTAAGGTTTAGAAATATCAGTCTAGCACGGTTGTATTTATTCACATCCAGTCATCTTCAAAATGTTTCAGACCCGTTGAAAAGATTCGCCCACTATCTTTCGAAAGATCTTTTAAATCGAATTACTCGACGATTCAATCACTTTTTCTTAGTTTACGCAGTTCATGCATTCAGGTACACATTACATTTTGTGACTTGCCATATCTCTCTGTAATAGCGTCAGTTGTAGGGAAGGTATTCAAATTTGTGAGAGCGATGGTAAAATACAGTATTGTTTGAATCGCTATCGTCCCAAGAAACGAAAACGGACAGCCAGTCAGGTTAGGCTTTCATTCCTGTGACCATTCAAGAATCATTTTACTAGCTTTGCCCGAGTTTCGTAAACATTACTGATGGAGCTCAGGTTTGAAACGGCATACTATGAAAAAAAAACTCAGTTAATGTGAGGTACTCAGAGGGAGAATCACGGGGAGATATCATTTTTTTTACTACGAGAAAGGTCACATTCTTATAAGAAGTTAAGAAAAATAAAGTTTGAAAGGTAAGCACCGAGCCTAACGCGTCATGTGCAATTCATATCTGGTCCTCAGAAGGGGAGTGGCTGCGAACTCAGTACGCACCGGCATCGAATATTGGCTGTTTGAGTAAAGCGAGCTGCGTCGCCGAATTATCGTGCTGACGGCTCTCCACCAGGAACACGCTGCGTGCGTTTATGTCCGAATAGGCAGCTGTTTTTCTCGCCTTTGCGCTCACAGCCCAGTTCGCAGAAACTCCCCGTCCATCGCTAAGATATGAACTATACATAGCCGCTGCTATCAGCTGCTGTGGCCACATGTCGCGCAGACATGTCGCCAGGAGCGCTTGCTACACACAGAAGAGTCTTATTCATATGCGAATCAAGGGACGATAGCTCTGGATGGAGGACCTGAGAAACTTGAGTTCCCGTGGCCGAATACGACTTCTTGTGGTTGTATAGCATGCAAATCACGGCGCACGTAGGGCCTCCCCATTGGGGGAGGGCTCAAGCATTTGGCCGCTGAGAAACGAAAAAACCGGAAAAGGTGATGAAAAGTTAGGAAAGTTTGGCAGGATAGTGTATAGGATGGGGAAGGTGAGAAGGGTATTAGGAGGGGGGCAGCATAGGAGAGATTTAGGCGGGGGGGGGGATTCCTAAATACTTTTCCCTGGAGGAAGTGCCCTTATAGCAAGTTAGATTATCAATATTTGACGGGTTCGGAAATCGATTTGATCCTCACAGTGGTCTAGATTACAGCGCCTCTTCTGCGGTCTCAGGACATCTGTCAACTGCGGAGCCTTCCTCCTCCTTCCTTTTTCCTTCCTCCTTCCTTCTTTTCCTTTCCTTCTCTCATCCTTCTTTATTATTTTACTTCTCGTAAATGCTCGAACAGAAGATGTGATGAGAAAACACCTCTGGACTCCTCGCAGCGAGAGAGCATCCGGTTGACAGATATCTTGTAACCCTCTTCTGCTGCTATCGCTGCTATCCACCTGTCGAGCTCGCTGATCAACTGGTACACGCTTACGTAGTGGTTCACCAGTCTCACGCTCAATCCTCAAGTAATGGCTTATGAGTCGGAGTGATGTGGGGTGTTGAGCGTTATTTCCTAGTCGCGGAATCGCAGTACGAGTGGCGTGGAAATAGAGTTGACACGCCGCCGCTATGCTGAGATGGCAGCAGCTTTCTGCGTCGACTCTGTCCCCCTGTCAACTCGTACTGCCATGTCGCGACCGGGAAATAGGAAGTTGGTGGACCCTACGTTGCCACCGCTTCCCAAGGGTGATGGGATGAGTGGCACCCATATTGTTCTTTTTGCATAGTACTGGTATTCAGTGGGTGTGGATAACTGCTGCGTATGAAAACGGGAGTAATTAGTTAGGCTCATAATTCTTCGGAAGTTTTTGAAAAGTTCTCGAATTTCAGAAGACATCTCAGCGAGCTCCAAGTCAAGATGCAAACACTGGTTTGTCCTCATCGTTCACACTTTCTGCGGATTGATAGCCCACACAGCCTGCAAGCGGGACATTCTAGGCCACTGGCAATCGTGATCTTTACGTGCGAAACGTGAGTTTCTCTATTACTGGTAAATAGAGATGAAACGTTTCGGCGAACAAGAATTTCTCAAATTTTTCTGAAACTTTCAAGCTGCTTTGCCAATGAATTTTCTTAGAGCATGTTTATGTTATTTCCAACGTTTTGGAAAAAAAGTGCCATTTATGTGGCGTTAGCAAGGTCATGCTTGTCTTGCTTGCTCAATAATAACCCTGATTTACCCTTCTAGCCCCCATCAAGCTGCAACATATACCTTTATCCCTGAGACGGAGTAGGTGTGGCATTTGAACATGGCATAAAATGGGTTACTCGTGAGATATTCCTATTTGAGACAACTGTCGTTTTGTTCAGTGTTGAACAGAGACGTGACCACAGGCGTCAAAAATGAAATGATCTCACCAAAAGTACAGCCACCGCCACGCTCAATTGAAGTACGCAGCCACGCCTACCACATCTCCATGATTTTGAGTGTACCGACCCGTGCGCCCACCAGTGCCCGCCCGCCCGCAAATATCCGACCGATGCCGATGCCAAAGTCCAAACGTTTGCTTTCTGAGTAATGCAAAGGCTTTTTTGCAGGTTTTAGGACCAGTTTTCGCTTCGCTTCTTTTCACCACTTGCCACTTGGCCCTCATTGACCACTTTAGGACCGACCCCGAATTATTCATGCCTTTATGCCTTCAATCTAGGATGCGATAAGTTCCTGGTTGGGAACTGGGCCACGCCCGTGCAGCTAAGCTGTAGTTACTTGCGCAATGACTGCAGTACAACAATTTTCTAAAATCGCCTTCTCGGCTTCTCTGTTCGAATAAAGGTGTTTATGGGTGGAGCAATCACCTTTTTTTCTCTGAAACTTTTTGGACTGTTCTCAATGAACTCTTTGGCAGACACTTTTTCTCAGGTAATATTTATAATTCTCTCCATTCAGGTGCCCAGTATAGTTCCCCTACCTGCCAAATCTCCCTCGAAACAAGATCTGACGCAAGCTGAAGTACCTATGGAGTTATCTACAGTGGGTTGAATGAAAATTCAGAATTTAAGTAGCTTTGAGTTACTTGCTTTGTATAAAGCTTTTTCGCAGTTGAGTCATTTCATCAGTATCAAAGGTCTGTTTAGGTAACACCTGGAGGAGAAGATGAATGGGAATTAAAGTTTTATGATCAAGTGAAACAAGATTCTAGTGTTCCTGCCTATTTTAAGACCACCCTAGGGTCTGTTCCTTTCTAATGCTGGGCAGGATTCTGGATTTGTATTTTTTTCAACTGATACCACTTTCAGAATCTTGGTGGCCAATAATCAGGATCTTCGGAAAGAAAGAGCATTCCTTCACAATCATCTCAGTCGATCTCGACCGTAAAAAGTTGTGGAGCTGGTGGGGGTAGAAAAGCTAACTTTTGGTTGTCAGATTTTCCACTTGTACAGTTGCTATGTTGTTTGTTTTCCCATCTGTCTACGTTTGATGTCGACTTTCCTGATGACGGGCTTCTAAGAACCTTTGAAAACAAACTGTATCTCCGTGAGTCCTAGCAACTCGAGCCCTGTGTGAGGTGAATGGGGACGGCAGCTGGCAGTAGCACGCAATTTTTCCTTCAAAAGTGAGCAGCAGGAACGAGCTGAAGGGTAGCTAACACCGGGTGGCGCCGCAGCATAATGTTCCGCCCACGCGCTAGACCGCTAAGACCGCCACCCGTTTAACCATAACCGAAAGCACTAGCTGTCTTCACCCTCTCATTTTCGCTTGTTCTATGCTGCTGAGTGCGTGTCTCGCTGCCGGACCTTGATATCATTGCAAGTGCTGCACATGAGCATAACGCGGGCGGAGGAAGGGATGGTACCTTTACACCCCAAGAGGAGGAGACGGCACTTTCATATACTACCATCTAGGCCCATTACCGTGCACTTTTGAGCACAGAAAGTTGCACGCTACTGCAAGCTGCGGACCCATTCACATCGCACTTGGGATAGACTCTTCTCAAGGATGAGTGTACAGTTTGTCCTTGAACGGGCAAGACCCCAAAATGGTACTCGAAAGTTACCTCTCGCGCACAGGACCTTTACCGTTCTGCTTCAGGAGTGATCATAGGGTACATATTCTACTTCTAATTACTTCTAATTACTTGCAGTATTTTGAATAGCTGTGAGTTCCGCTCATAATAATTTTACAATATTTCAATGCTGTGTTCTACTCCCAGTGTTCTATTATTTTTTCCGAACAATTTTTGTCGAATAAATTATATTTATCGAAAGCTTCGTATGTTCTTAAACTGGTGGCAGCCACAGTGTATGTAACCGACTCTCATTTTACTCGGTTTTCAACCAATTTCGGTACAGAAAACAACATAAAACATTTTTCACAATAAAATATTGGAGTGGCCCATAAGTGACGGCTTTTTTCCAGCATAGAATTTGTGTG